GATGAGACCGGCAGAAAGAGACGAGGAGATGCCGTTAATTAAATCAACAAAGTCTTGTAGTTCAGCGTCCTGCTTGACACTTCTAACTTGACGATCGATAACGTCCAAAGTCAAGTCCTCTCTCTGTTTTTTAGAATGCGGATTTTTTTCTCATTACTATATTTTCCCTATAAATTAAACTCTGCGAAATTCCTTCATCCCAAATAGACTCGCACAGGACTCGCAGAAGGGATTCAAAAGAAAGAGAGGTGGAAGGGATAGCTGGACTTGATGGTATAGCCGTGTGGGCGTAGCCGGCTAGAGCCGCCCCTGAGTCATAGGCTCCGTTCGTTTCGCTGAAAAAACAAGTCGAAACATTGTTCTGGCTGATTTATTGTGAGAGAAAAATACTGTTCTGGCTAAAAAAACAAGCTAAAAAGAATAGATTATAAGATAAGCGAACATGGTATATGTACTGATGTCTAATGCTTTTCCCCCGTCGAATTCAAAAGAAGACATGGAGGTAAAAGGGCTGTTTGATCCATTAGTTAATATAATACTGTTAGAAGCTAAAATTAGAAAATTGACTTGCTAATAATCCTGCTAACAAATTAGTAGGTGGATGTACTTCTCTCCATCCTATTTTTTTTTTGATGTTTTAGCAATTCGAACTAGGTTAGGCTCATATCAACTTGAGATTGTGGTATGCATGCCTCCATGCATTCTTTTTAATTACTGATTTATTTTCTTAATTATCATTGACCACCTTCATAAAACCTAAGTACATGGCTAAATTCAATGAGCACTAATTGACTAATCTATCCTAAAAATCCTAAACATCATGTTTTTCTGGGACAGAGGCAGTAGAATACAAAGTATCCCAGGAATTCTAGGACATTTTGTGATAAACCAGATGAGAAATGACACGTCATCTTTTCTTGTCAGCATATTCGGGTTGGTAATATAAAAAAATGACAGGTATGTATATGAATGTTGTCTTTTTAAAACTGAGTTAGGCCTTGTTTGATTGTTTTCAAAATCAAATGGATTGAAAGGGTTAGAGGGGTTGAGTAGGATTTTGACTTGTAGTGAATTTAATCCCTCTTAATCCCTTCCAATCCCCTTGGTTTTGGGATCAAACAGACAAGGCCTTAGTGGGTTAGCTCATCTAAAAACCCTTATATTTTTGGGCGCTGGCGTGTAGGATTTGGAAGTTCGGCGCGCGCACCTCTTGCACAGCAGTTTTTAGTGGAAAAACACACACACACATAAGCTCTTCTACCCTGACTCCGGCGCCCTCGTCCCCGCCGCCACCACCTCACCGTGGCGAGCTAGGGTTTCGATGGAGCTTCGTGGTTGTGGTCGTGGCCTCGCCCACGGCGCCACCTTCTTTCCCTCCCGCCTCCCCCCGCGCGACGCCACCATGGACAAAGCTCCCCCGCCCCGACCTGGCCCGGGCACCGCTGCCGCCACCAACTCCCCTAAATGGCCCGTCGGCCACCCCCCACCGCCTGGCCAGCCTTCCTCCCCCTAGCCGGCCCCTTCTATACCCGTCGGAGTTGGAGAAGATAAGAGGAGAGCTCGCCGGAACCCTAGAAAGCAAATCCCAGGAGGAGGCCTACATGATGGAGGGAGTAGTTCATTAATTGATGAAGAGGTTGTAATAGTTTATATAGCTCTCTAACCAACTATTAGCAAGTAAATCAAAATGGCCCCCTCTACTAGTTAGCTAGCCCTAATTTATAGCACTATATATATAATCTAAATTGGACCTAAAATTTGAGAATCTTTAAAAAAAAGAAAAAAATGACAATTGATAGGCCATGCCAACGTCCAATTATGTTGTACTCACTCTGTCTTACAAATTTTGCAATTCTATGACCATGCACAAGAACCAATGTTAGATCAAAATTACGAAAATACCCTTATCAAAATAGTGCTGACACTCTGATGTGCAGGTACACTGCTGCATCCAGTCCAGACTTGCACAAGCCAACATCAGCAAAAATCGTGGCAAGGAAATAGGCTGTGTTTAGTTTACGAAATTTGGAAATTTGGCTACTGTAACACTTTCATTTTATTTGGCAATTAGTGTTCAATCATGGTCTAATTAGGCTCAAAACGTTCGTCTCGCGATTTTCAACCAAACTGTGCAATTAGTTTTTTTTCGTCTATATTTAATGCTCCATGTACGTATCGCAAGATTCGATGTGATAGCTACTGCAGCAATTTTTGAAAAACTTTTTGAGAACTAAACCCATCCATAAACTTGAAGCTTCTGGACGCCTGTACCATGTCCACACCACTATGCCCCAAAACCTGGTGCATTGTACGGCCTAGTAGCTATTAGCTACAATTGCAATGTTTGTGAGACAAAATTTAAACTTCAGAATTGCAATGTTTTTGGAACGGAGGGGGTAGACGGAAAAAATTGGGTACGGCCGGGCCGTACGCGGCACTGTGCGGACGAAAATAACGACACCTGGACCTCTGGCTCGGCACATCTCCGTGGATTTCTTGGCTCGGCAGGACACCAGGATTTCTTGACACGTCGTTTCACTGGTCCATCCGCACAGTGCCACGTACGGCCCGGCCATACCCAAATTTTTTCTGTTGTGCAACCGTGACGAGCATCGTCTACACATCGTCAAAGGCCGCGTTTTTTTTTGACAACAAAGGCCGCGTTTGTTGGAAAACTAAATTGCAATTGCGTGAACTTAATCTCGAGCTGCTGTTCACGGTGGCATAAGCTGGAGTCTGGCCAAATCTGACTGAGCAGCCGAGAAGCCTGATGAGGTGAAAAAAAATGTAAAAAATAAAAAAAAAATCCGACCTGCCGGATTCGAACCAGCGACCTAAGGATTTTTCTGCGAATACTACAGTCCTCCGCTCTACCAACTGAGCTAAGATCGGTTTTGTGTTGAAAGATTTTAATTATTCTTATATCCATATTCATAGCATTTTCAACCAATTGTTGTGACACAAACAAAGCTAGTCTATTTTGGCCTACGGAGAGTAGCAGTAGTATGACAGGCCCTGAATATACTCAAGCAAGGGTGTACGTGTACCGTGTACTCAGTGGCAAATGGGTACGGATGCACCCATGAAAAAAGATAGAATACCAGTAAGCAGAGTCAATTTTTACCTTGATTATGGCTCAAATTGTCACGTCCACAAGTACGGGGTAGGCGTACCCTCTTCGATTTGCTTTAGCTTCGCCATCACATGTACTAGTCAACATTACTATTACTTATTATGCTTCATGCTCCGCGTACTTTTCAACTCTCTACTCCTGTTTAGCGAAAAACAGTTCCATGGCATAGTCGCGGGAAAAAAAAACTGATTTGTGCTGCGCCACTGCCCACTGCCCACTGCCCACTGCCCTTGAACATTGGTATTCGTCATCTAAACATGCATACTCCGTACACACGATGCAGCTTTAGAGACATCGAGCGAAGAAACAAAATAGTAGACGCGACCGCGATGTGAAAAAAAATGGAAACGATCGGACATGCTTAAAATGCAAGCATGCCATGATATGGCCAAGTATGTGTAAACCAATTTTGCATTTTCGTATGGAGCTGGTCCAGCACGCAGCACTTGTCACTATCATCTGTACTGTGTACAACATCCGGTTTGTTTCTTTCAGTGAAAAAGGAATTACTGTACTAGAGACCCGGATGTTTCGCTCGAGCCAGGCAGCCAGACTGCGCTCGTACACGTGCCGATGGCGAGCCCTGGCCGGTGACCGGTGGTGCGCCTCGGCCGACCGCCATGCATTGCCTCGCTCCGTCGTTCTGTGTCCGGCGGCGGTACGGTGTAAGCGGCCGCGAACGTCAACGCGCAGCACTGAAGGCGGGCGGCGGCGGTACGGTGTAAGCGGCTGCTAGCCCCTTGCGACGGCAGGGAGCTGAAAGCGAGCGCTGCGGCGGCATCGGGCGGTGCCGCCGGCGCTGGTAGCGGCGGCGGCGACGAGAAGGCCACGGGGTTGCCGCTGATCCCGACGCTGCCGCCCTTGCTCAGCCCCGTGGTGCCGCTCCCGCCCGTCGTTCCTGGCCTCCCTCCGGCTCGCGAGTCCGATGAGTCTCCGTGATCGTGCGCGAGCTAGGCTAAGCATGGGTGCGGCTCGGGGCAGCTCCTGCTCATGAGCCCAACAAGTTGCCACGTTCATGTCTTTGTCATGTACCTTTCGTGGTTTCTAGCTACCTGTCATTTTGTGTTGTGTGGTGATGTAACATTGTAACAAAATACGCGTCAGAGAGTTCGTGCTTTTGAGATAATCAGAGTTTGCATCTCGTAATACTTCGTCCCAGAGCATCTCGTTGATGTCCACGGACCTTAATTAATCCGTGTCTGCTGGTCGCATCTATTGATGCTATGCTTCATTGTAACCACAAATCAGTAAGCAGCCATAACTACGCACGGCAGTAAAATACTCGGGTACAGTATCAGCAAAGATCCAAGCTCGTCTGCACCCTCTATGTAAAAAACATAATTAGCACTATATATGTTTAGAAGCTACTTAGAAGGACCAAATGTGAACTAATTTCAAAACAAATTGCATAAGCGGTGGCTAATTGGTGAGGCGAATCAATTAATCCTAATTAGCCTATAATTAGCTTATATGATGCTATAGTAACATGGTCTAATTAACCGAATTCGGTTACCATTTCGCCACCGAAATTCTTGACAACCGATTTTACCGAATGTGCAGGCCTACTTCCGAGGGAAGCATGGGGTCACTAGCTCACTGCAAAGCTACAGTTGTATATGCTTGTCCAACTTATACATCATGCTGGATTTGCAAGAATCATACAGCACAGGGCACCATAAATATATCAATAAAGTCTCGGTAACACCAAACAACCACTACAGATACAGCAGATTGAGCCCTACAAATTTCATGTTATAGATATAGATGCGGGAATGCTGCCCACAAGTTTTTAGTATGTAACTCGCATAACTTCTTTTTACAGCTGTTACCGCTCGCCGAGGGCAAACTTTTGGCTCGGGAGATCGTTTTAAGTCAGGTCATCCTCGTCCAAGGATTCCTCGCCATCATCAGCTTTCTTAATGGCCTGCAGATCACCAGTCGGTAGCTTTCGTGCAAGCCTAATTACCTGAATTAATGTACGGAACCAACTGTTACCACAAATCCCAAGCATACACAGGCACCAACCAAGTAGTATAGAAATACAATCAGCCAGGCAAACATTACATCAGAATGAATGCAAACTGTTCTAGACTAGAGAATATATGGGACGTTTGATGATGCGGTAGTAAGACAAGTGCAGAAGTGCTAAACGGAAATACAGTTAATCAAGGTTTCTTTTCTCACAATATTGGTTCTATGAATAATGAAGGCACCATGCATATCACTGCTGAAATCAGGTGAACATCAGAAACGGAAGATACACCATCTGTGCACATCACTACACGATGCAGCATGACTCCCGATAAATTCAAGGCTCGTTGTGTATATGGAGATTAGAAAGAACAGGTTATACAAATGATATTCCCAGCTCCTTGTTCGCCATTTTATGGACATGCAACACCAGATGGCAACTTCTGATCCATTTAGACACTATTCCATTGCTGATACAATTCAGCATGCATTGCTTTTTATAGAGGAAATGAAAATAATTACCATATGGTCAAGGTGATTGAAGGCACTTGATTGAGAAATGCGTTTGATTTCTTCAGCATCACCTTCCTCATAAGCAGACAATAGTTTTGTTGCGCATCGATTCTGGTCACTATTGAGGAAGGCTTGAACCCTGTTAAACGATAATGAAACGTTTTCCTTTACACTTCACGGTTTGATGGGAGAAAAATAGCACATGACACAAATATTATTATACAAAAAACAAAATTTCACCAATGTACAACTTACTCTGAGCAGTCATTGTAGCATTTCTGAGCTTGCTGAAAGTCATGTGCATAAAGATAGATGATGATCGCACTCAGATAAGCCTGAATGCCAGAAACGAATTTTGAATGAGACAAGTTTTGTGTTCAAGACATTCATGAAGCAAGTTTTGTTTTCAAGAAATGATCACAAACAAAGCTGCAAGATACAAATATAATGTGCCAATTTATAAAATTCTCAAATCAATAATACACATGGAGTTTCTGAATAATTATGTAAGCACATTTCAGTTATTAGTTAGAAAAAAAGGATTACCTTGCATTGGCTATTGATGGCATTGCACTTATCGGCAGCTGAACCAAGTCTTAAAAAGAAGGCAGCAGCATCTGAATATCTGTCCAATGGACAAAGATGGGGGTGAATTGTAAGATGGTCATGTTAAAAGTTACTTGCAATGCTAAATGATAAGAGAGTTCCTAGGTGATAGGTTCAGAAGACAATTCAAGGTGTCACTTTAGGCCATGTATATTTCAAAACATTCAAGGTGTCACTTAATTCACATGTAAGAACAATGAAGAATGAACATCAAAATGTTCCAAGGAAAACATGAATGAGATAGCATACAGATGCAAAGGTGAGGCTATAGATTGAAATTAATATAAGCAAGCATCAAGGTGATCTTACTTCTCCATCTTGATGTACAAAGCTGCTGCAGCACGATACAAGTCAAAAGCCATCTGTTCCTTCCCATCTTCTTCCAGAACTGAACAAGCCTCATCATACATTTTAATAGCTTCTTCTGGAGATTTCTCCTCCAATGCACTGGTTTCATAATATTATGTTTAGAACATAAGCATCCATAATGTCACAATTGTAGGAGGTGTCATTTAAATTTACCTGGCACCCTTTGCTAGAGCATCGGATGCAGGTTGTGGCCTTCCACATTCACGGTATAATTCTGAAGCTCTGTGATAGAAATCAGATACTTCATTCCAGTATCCAAGCTCCTTTGCTAAAGCAGCAGCAGATTCCATATGCTTAGCAGCATCCCATGGTCTATGACATTAGCTAAGGGTACACTAGGTAATTGTATAATGATATGAAAAATTAAAAATCCAAAACTGCAGAGAAATTTCCGAAGGATACGAGGAGATCATTTCCTGTCCTTTTGAGGCCTTCTCAAATGCATCTTTTGCTTTCTCATTGTCCTTTCTGAACCTATACGCAATTGCTTCAAAGAAGAAATGAATTTCACTTATATACTCCCCGGTGAAAAAATTGCTATCAAGAAAAATAAGGAGGATGGTAAAGTCACTGACCAGCTTGCTCATACAAGGAAGTAGCACTTTTCCAATCAGCATTCCACCTTGTAAAACTCAATTTTGTTCTGCAAGAAAGGGTATATTCAAGAAATTTTTAGGGAACGTGCCTTACACAGAGAATTATAGGTTGCTGAAACAGGACCCTTTTAGGTGTCACATTGATAAAAGTAATAGAAGTAAAAGCAGGAAAACCAGCAGACATACTATGCAGCAGTCAATCACACTATCACACTCACACACTATAAGAAAAGAATTTTTAATGGTAAAGATCTGACCATACTGATATATTGCTATGTTCAAGGAAATCAAATAAAACTCTGAACCTATTGAAAAGCAGCTCCGTTGCTTCCCCCCCAACCAAAACCAACCAAAAACCAACCCAGCACCACCATTTGACAGTTTCCCTGTTCAAACAGTATACATCCGGGTGTCCGTTTTGAATGAACTAATAAATCTTGTAGAGCCAAGGGCCAGTGAGAGGTCAACTTTTATGCAAGACAAGGACAGCACCAGGTGCTTTTGTTCGTCATGTGGTCCAAGCTAAAATCTACATAAGGTTGGTTCGGCACAGCATATACTCCCAAACAATGCACTTACAAGGCCTTGAAGCTACATCGCATAGCCATTGCTGAAGTGGCATACTCTACCACAAGGAATGGTACGCATTCACCCATGTCTGCATATGTGTCAAAAATCGAAAGGTAATGGAATATGATCTAATTATCTAGGGGAGTGTAACATCAGGAATTCCCCCACATTTTGGATCTAAACGAAATTGCCATTTTATTGTCTTTTCGTGCAGATTTGGCATGCCCCTGAGCACAATTCGACCAAATTAGCATAAAACCAAGTTACTAGGGGAGTTGATGAGCCCTCTTAAAGTGAACCCGGAAATAGGTAGTGCTGTAGGGGAACTCTTCCAAGCCTCCGAAACTACTACTCGAAGATCGAAGCTTACTCCACCAATCACTTGAGATCAGGTCGTATGAAAGATCCCGAAACCAACGTCATATTTTTGGAAGAACTAGTGAAATTTCGTCCAACAGCAAGACGCCAAGGCTAGATCTAGGAATTCCCTGATCGCTCAAGATACATCCACACGAACGCTCGACACGATCGGGCTAAGAATTAGAAATCGGAGGGATCTAATTCGATGCACTAAAGGCCCAGACAGCTCGATTTGTCGGCCTAAACGAAATGAAATCCCCATTCTGAAAGAACACACGCGTAACAGCAATCGGGGTCGCTCGCGGGTCAAACGAAGCAGGAGAACTCGAAGGAAACTGAAGGCGGCATAAGAGAAACGCAGGGCTCACAGTTTGTCGGCTTTGCTCATGAGCTTGTCGGGGTCAGAAGAGCTCGCCATGGCCGAGAGCGCAGCCTCCTCTTCTCCGCTGCCCAGATTCCCACGCCTGCGGGTTCGAGCAGTTGAGCTGGCACAGCTGCCTTCCGCTGGATGAGGACGGGAACTGGCAGTTCGTCGAGATTCGCGCAGCGTCAATCCAACGTCCCAATTAGTTGGGCCCTTAGCCCCGGCCCAGGACTAATTGTGTACAACAGCGTAATAAAAGCCTGCTTTGTGCTTGTAGTAGAAGTCAGAGTTTTCTCTTCTCCCTAATTTCCTATCCTTCCTATAGCTTATCTTCATTTTTTTGAACTTAGCTTATCTTCAATTGGATTAATCTTAAATGACAGTTAAATCATAACTAATGTGTCTCATTCTAAGATCTGGAGTCCCGTGAAGTACTAGTAGTACTTGTGTTCGTTGCTGCTAATGAGGAAAAGGGAGGTTTAATACAACTAATCTTCACTAGAAATTAATTTTGTACAAGGCCAATGCTATATGTTCTTAACTAGAAGAATGCTAAACAACACTCGCGCGTTTCCCCTCTATCCCACTCGCGATTTTTCTATCCCTGCGATTTGACGCGTGTAGCTCATTGGAATGTCCGATCTCTCCTCTCCTTCCCTCCTCTCCTCTCCCGGGTGGTCCCAAGGACTACGACCGCCTCCCCTCCACTCTCGCCGCCATGCCCGTCCCTCCCAACCCCAAGCAGATCCTCCCTCTCTCCCCTCCGCCGGCGCCGGCGCCGACGAGGTAGGCGGGCTCCTCCTCCTCCTCCTCCTCCTCCTTGATCTATGCCCACCAGAGACGAAGATGACGGCGACGGTGGCTAGGGTTCCGACGAGCCTCTTTCCCAACTTTTGTCCTTGTCCTTTCATAGAAAAAATTGTTTCTTGTGATTTGTGATTTGTTACTTGTGATTTGTGATTTGTGCCAAGGAAGAAGATGAACAATACCAATGGCGAGGACGGTGGCCGGCGGGCAGCGGCGAGCAATGGGAGGAGGAAGAAGACTAGTACAAAAATTGGGTGCTCCTTCCCTCTCAAACACTCGAATTTGAGATAGACAAACTCCTTAACTATGCCATATCACTATAGTCTAAATATCTTATATCAATTTAAAGCTTTATTAGTTTATTCCAGCTATTTCTCAAAACATAACCACGACTACAAAAAAAATAAAAATGGGAGGCATTTTGAAATAGGCCTCGAGGCGAGACAGGAATTTCAACCGCCTCGATTAACCGAGATGGTCATTTTTTGTTATTAACCAAGGTGGTTACAACAACCGCCATCTTAAAATGCCCGTCTCGATTAATATCGATTAACCGAGGCGGTTGTTTTAACGCAAATGCCTCGGTAAATACATTAACCGAGGTGGGCACACTATAAGGCCCGCCTTGGATAATACTGGCCCATCTCAGAGCCCAAACATCCCATCTCGGCCCAATAGCGCGCTTAGTGTATATATACCGCACTTAGCCACTTAGGGTTTCATTCCCACCCATCCAAACTCTCTCTTAGCCACGCACCGTGGCTTCCCTCACCCGATGCACCGCGACCTCTCTCCCACACCGCCCTCTCACTCCTCTTTCTTTCATTAGCCCCTCCTCCCTCTCCCTCAACCATCACTACTAGGAATATCCACTTCTATGATGACCAACTTTCATCACTGAAGGAGCCAAATTCATCATAATTTCAGTTTTATGACGAATTTATGACGAAAAACGATTCGTTATAGAAGTCGCGTTATTCTTGCAATTCTATGATGAAATGGTCAAAGAACTACTTTGGCATGCGTGGTAGGGTGCAGCCACGCTGGCGGTTGCTTCCATTGGAGATGCTTTCCACGTGTACCTACTATAGCCGGTTGCATTGGATATGGTTCGGGTACATGTCACCTTGTTATTAGATAACTTGGACATCTATGATTTTTGCACATTTTAGGTTTTAATGGACCACGTGTCAGGCCCTTGTTTTTCACATGTCTGTTTTCTACTGGCACATGTGTTGTGTTGCGGTTGAGTCATGTGTCATTTCTTCATTGGACCATGTGTCATAATTTTATTGGTCCATGTGGTCATTTCATATTCGACCACGTGTCACGGTGTTGTCTATCCACGTTTTGTTTTTTTATTCGGCCACGTGTCTTAACGGCTTCCTTCCACATCTCGGATTTTATTAGCCCACGTGTCGTGCCATGGCTATTTCACGTGTCATTCACTGGTTCATCCATGCGTCACATTTTTATTTGATCACGTGGCCTGCCCATGCCCAAATATCAATTCATCATAAAATTAATTCAAGATCATCACTGCTGTACATATTTACTACATAATTATTCAACGATGTCTACATAATTATTCAGCATGACAATAAAAAATAACAATTTACTGTTTACACATCAGCAGCAACCCGCTGACAGTTTCACCACATCAAACCAGCACACGAGTACACACATCAGACCACAAATATTCACTGTATCAAGCCAACAGAGTTAACGACTGAGAGTTACCAGAAGAGCTAAAAAGCATGATATCCTCACGTTGGTTATTTTACTCCTCCTGTTGCTATATCTTGAACTCCTCAAACTCTCTTTCAGTCTTTTCTGTCTTCCTCTTCAGTTCATCCACTTGTTCGATGAGGTTAGTGGAACTTTTCTATTCAGCAGCAAGTTGTTCCCGAAGCATTCTCTCCACTGATGTCTCTGTTCTGGCGAAGCTTATCGGGATACCAGCATTTTAAAAAAAAAGGGTGTTGCCGCTGACCTTGGAGTGGACCTGGCTATGGGAGAGGCAAAGGACCGTGGGAACAACATCAGCACTTGTCATTGGTTCATGCCCATCAGCAACATGTTCTTCTTGTATAGTTTCCATAGCTTTCTATAAAATTTAAGCAGTAAACATTAGGTTACAGATAGTGGAAGAGGACTTTAATTGAAAACCCAAGAGATTAGTTTATAACAAGTAACGCATGTTTCATATTGATATGGATTACGGCGCTGTTTGGATCTTGGCCACACATAGCCACGTTGTGGCGAGTTGTGGCGGTGGCGGGGTTTTCATCCGCCACACTCTTGTGGCTCATTCTCTACTGAGTAAAGCTGTGGCAGTCTCATTTAAGTCAGCAACCAAACAGCTGCTCCGGTTCCCATGGTGAGCCACAGTTTGTGGCATGGCGGTCGGTGGCCCTCAACCAAACACCCTCTACATAAACACAATGCACAGGTACTAATATGGTTTACATACTGTGAAATTCAAGCAGTAAATAATAGGTTACAGATATGGACTACATGAGCACAATGCACAGGTATTGTAAGTTCAAAATTAAATGATGATGCCAAATTTAGGGTCCCTTTGGTTCATAAAATTTCTAAAAAAAATGTAGGAATCAGTAATCCTATGGAATCAGCACCGTAGAGGCCTTGGGTTCAGAGAAAGAAATGGGGGAAGGAAAACCATAGGAAAGTTTCCTATCCTTCAACTTTTATAGGAAAAATAAAGGAAAAAAATATCCAGTGAAACCTCATTGTATTGGTTTCCTATGTTTTTTCTGTACAAAACCAAACACCCCTTCTAACAAAATTGCTCTATTTTTCATTTCTCTGTTTTTCGCATGCATTTCAATCATATTCCTGTATTTTTCATGTTCCTACATTTTTTCGATCCTGCGTTCCAAAGGGGGCCTTAGGCTCCTGTGACTATTGCTTCTATTAACAGTGCACATGAGTTTCTATTTATACAAAGGCTAGAGTAACAATAAAACACAACCATGACTTACAAATGATTGCAGCTGTATAGCATGGGAGTGAGATCCTGTAGCCTGGTGGCACTTCACTTTTGCACGGTTTTGCTTGTTCTTCTTAGATCCATGAGTCAACTCTCCAGGTCATGTTGACTTCACTCTCTTGGACTGCCTTCCTCTAGGACTGATATCAGCGCTGCCTTTTGTCCTGCTGGTGGAGCCTCCTCTACGGCTTCTTTGAACCGGACGCTAAAATTAGAGGAAACAAATTTAAGCAGGAAGCATATACAAATTGCATTGCTATCTAGACAGTAAAGCATTGCATTGCTATCTTCACCCCACCCTCCACCCCCCCCCTCCCACCCAAACTTAATACAAGGTAGAACAAGCACCTCAACTACAAGGACCACTAGGTCATCTTGTAAATATGAATATGTTTCATCTGTATCACCAAATCCCTCAACAATCACCCATGGTTCTTCCATCTTCCTATGATTCTTTATGACTTGTGCCTCCCGCTCTCATTCAAAAGCAGTTAGTGGTTGCTCATCTAGATTACAAAGGTATTTATTAACTAAAGATTCTAGCGAATGTCAACATAACAGAGAACTAGAGTATGCAAATAAGCGCCTAACTAGTAACTATAGCTTATACGATAGTCATTAATCTAATAAAGCACATGTTAGCTACACTCAACTATAGGAAATATGCAACCCCATCACTATTTACCTATCCTAGGTTGAACCACTACAATACATCACACATCATAAAAGGAATTTGGGTTCCTCTTCCTCTGCGTACCCTGGCTATGCTTCGTCGTTGGCACAACCATCTTGTCATCGTGGTCGTGGAACTAGTGCGGCCGGCGTTGACAAAGGGGTACCAGATTCGGCTTTGGCTAGGGTTCGAATTCGGCTGGTCATGATAGGTGCTAAAGTAGGGGATCTAAATCTGGCCTATACCACCGTCGAGGTGGTCCTTCCGCCGTCAGCTGACCTGCTGTCGATGAATCCAAGGAGGTCTGGCTCCGGCTAGGGTTCGAAAAGCTATGAGAGAGGTTGCGGCTAGAGAGTGGAGTTTGATGAGTTGAGATGCTGTGCCGATGGTGCCTTGGGTCCAGAGAGGGGTGGCAGAGGGGGTGGCTGAAGAGCGGAGAGGAAGGCCATGGGGCTAGGATTTGGAGTGGGAGGAGACACGGTGGCGGCTAGAGGATGGAGATGGAGGCGGAGGATGAGACGGTGACTCCTTGCGCTTTTTATGGCCATCACAGTATCACAA